GAAGAAACCTTGGTAAAATTTTCTCTTATAACTTGGTTATAAGAAGTGTAAGATAAGTTATTTGCATAAATAACTATCCCTTACAGGTGTAGTGTTCATTTCATGCCTTGTCAACTCAATCCTCAGATTATTCAGCCCTTCTAGATCATTCTGCTCACCTGTCTTCACTACTAATCATCACAGCTGTCTCCACTTAGCCTCTGACTACTTATACTGGTTCTCATGCTCTCCACCTTCGTCTGTTCATTGTTTGTTTCTGTTTGGTTCATGTTCTGTCCTGGCTTCCTCGTTCCTGCTCATTTGTAAGTCTTCTGTTTTTGCCACCACGCTGGCCTTTAATTTAATAAAAGTTTTTTTTAATTTTTTAGTTTTTCTGCCTGGCTGCATTTGGGTCCATCCTGCCACTAAGTCCTGATACTAATAAATGTTGTTACAGAAAATCTAACTGCTCATTTTAAATCAATACTTTTACTTCTTAATACTTTAGTATTTTACTTAGTATCAGATACTTTAACACTTTTACTCAAGTAATAATCCTAAAGGAGACTTTAACTTTTATCAAAGTAATTTTTTGGTAAGATACTTGTACTTTTACTCAATATCACTTTGTAGTACTTTATACAACGCTGTCAAAATGTCCCACTAATGACGTTTCACTTTTGTTTTTTAGGAACTACTTACATTTCATACATTTTACTTTCATTTGCCAGTATTCTCCAATGAATTCCTTCCAAAGCATTTTTTAAATATACTTTAAGTTATTTGCTCTCCTTTTATGCAACTTTTGCTAAATTGATATTTTAACTAGGATGTTGCTTTTTACTTGTGTTTTCTACCTTAAGCTTTTAGGTAGTGTTTGCTATTTTTAGTAAGCCTTTTCTTATTTTTAGTTAGCATAACTTAGAGAACATTTTATTTTTTGCTAGAATTTAGCTTCTAGTTGGGTTTTTGCTGCTAGTTTTAGGATAGAATTTTGCTCTTTTCAGTACTAAAAAGAGCAAGATTAGCTTAAAAATTTAGTTAGTATTTTTCTTTTAATTTTTAGTGAGTACTCTGCTGTATCAACAGTATCAGCTTCCTCAGCAGTTTTCAACAAAATCACTTCGCAGCGCTCAGCATTCACATTGCATTTTCACAGTAAATGTAAATGAAATATCCTCCCGTCAGTGATTAGTAAACATTTATTTTCAAGTTTCAGCATGTGAACTTTGCACACTTGTGAAAAATAAGGCAGCAAATCAAGATGGCACTGCAAAGCTTTTCTTCTCCTTTTTGGCTCACTTTTACATTGATTTGAAATTGAAGCAACAAATCACGAAGCACACAGTCTATGCCACAATAATCTCCCACAGTTAGGACATCCAGATCTCAGTCTCTTACGTCACCCTTAACAGTTTTTGGCAAAAGCCTGATCAAGTTTGAAGGCATAAAAAAGCTGATGATCATTTTAAAACAARTACATCTTAATTGTCAGTTTTTACATAGGACAAAATGAAAATTGTGTCCCTGCGAGGTCTTAAAATAAGACACAACTTATAATATTTCGGTTAGCATGGTCAAAATGTTAATATTGTATGAGGAAAAAAACAAATAAAAACACTGTTTAAAAAAACTTAAGCAGCAATAACTTAAAGTWTTATTTATGGTTAAATCAGTGTATGTGCTTAGGTTTTCAAGTAGTAAAGTTCACATCATCACATTTCCACCAGTGAGCTGGCTTTAGGTGTTCATGCTGATATTCCATGTTTTCTTTTCATTAGTCATTTAGTGCATTATGGCCAGATATCTGTACTTTGGTGTTGTCTGTGCAATAAATAAATAAATAAATAAATAAATAATTAACAGGAGTCTTTTGAGTGTTCCAGATACAACCTTGCAAACCTAAGCACTGCATTCATGTTTTTATTAATTACTTTTTAGAAAGACGTGTCGCTTTCTTTCAACATGCCTTCCAAACAAGCCAAATTTAAAATTGTACAAAGAGTGATGTTTTTTGGTCTGTGAATGTGTGCGCATTTGAGCTGCTGTGGATCGTTGGTCAGTGGTGCAGGACTGTAATCCTGAGGCCACAGGTTTGAGCCCGGGTCGGGTCAGGGAAGACATCTGGCATAAAACAATTACTAAATATTTTTTGAGAATTCGCTCACTGTGGTTGACCCCTGCAGAAGGGAGCAGCTGAATAAAAACAACAACCTGTAGGGATGAGACCAAAACATATACAGAAGTCTAAGAATTATTTTTACAAGTGCAATGGATAGAGCTTGAAACACCAGATATCGACACCAATATTGTTTAGATTGGTGATGAAATAAAGAAGTTATGGCCATTTTAGTATCAGAAAATTCCTCTACGTTTTTCCACTGRTTTAACATTGRAAATCCAGAAAACGTGTGATGAAACAAACAATGAATGGACATAACTGCTTTATTTCTTGATAAAATTGGATGAAGTTTTCAGGAGACGAAGGAAATGGCATGCTCTTAACTAATAATTAATTCATACCTAAAACTGTACAATCATGCAATTGAAATAGTCCCTAATAGAAAAATATCGAAATCATACTGATTAATCAAGGGTCAAAGAGAAAACATTTTTTTCTATTTTGCTACATCTGTAGCACCGTCACATTTGGGGTCTGAAAAAACATGTTTGCCTGATCAGATAGATTGTCATGAAAGTCARTTAGTATTAAAATATAATATTATGTTTTGGTGCTGTCTACATTTGATTGAGCGCTGCGTGGTGAAAAATCAACTATTTGAAAAATAAAAAACGAGTGAAATACCACTGGGGACCGATGAAAAGTGCAATAATTCGAGGAGTCTGAAAACACTACATTCACTGCAAAACACAGGCGTCAATAGTATTCACATTCATGACTTAAGTAGAAATATAGWTAATCCTTTTTTGAGAGTAGAAGTAACAACTCAAGTAAAAGTGTAAAAGTACTGGTTTAAAAACTACTTAAAGTATAAAAGTAATGCAAGGGGGAAAAGCCATTAAGGATATAAGCTTATGCTGCATCACAGGGGTCTATAATGTTCAACCCAACTTCCTCAAAATCATTTTTCTAAAAGCAGTAATGACTATAAATATAATAAAAGGTTAATGTTGAAAAATGTGGGATGCACTAGTCTACCTGTTTTTACCCTTTATCCTTAAAAGTTTGTAACTATTCACTTTATTATTTAATTCTTTTGATGAAGAGATAAAAGGTGAATAAGTCTTTGGGAGAGTAACAAAGGGGGCCCTTGAGGAAAATAGGACGGGAACCACTGGTCTAATCACAAACCATTGGACAAATTATGATGAAACTCTCAGAAGTTAATATTTGGATCTACAGCTGATTAGTTTTGGAGTCAGTTCAACCCAAGATGGCAGCAGCTATTTAATATTTGCAAACACAACTGTTGATTTTACGGATAAAGGTTGATGTAGTAGCAGCTGGATGTTATCCTCACATACTCACATGAGAGCTACACATTAAACAACATCTTTGTCTAAATTATTTAGCATTAATTAATAGTGTCTGCTTGCAAAATCATTCGGCTGTACATCTACAACTTATTTTCATTTAGAGCCGACCTAATTCAAGGCAGTTGCCACAGCTACTAGACCTTAGCTAATACAAAAATAGATATAACATGGTCAATTATACAGATATCAGGCTAAAATTTGTTATGGTATGAGCTGACAGTCATCCTCAACACCCGCTCCACATCTTGTAAGAGCTCACAATATTACGTGATAGCTTTATCATCATGTATAAGGACGTACTAAAATGGTTATGCCTGCCTCCCCTCTCATTAAAACGCTTAAAACGCTGCCATGAAATGTGTGTGTGTGTGTGTGTGTGTGTGTGGGGGGGGGGGTTCCAAAGAATGCTAGGCCTTTTTAAATTGTTCACAAAGACCACGTGAACGGTTGAAGAATCTGACATCACTGCATAGGCTGACCTAAGAGTTGTTGTTTTTCTTTCAACTGCTTTTGTCTGTATGTGAATCTATGTGAAAAAYTGAAACAAAGCAAAATCCTAATCCATCAACAGGACTGACTAACCTTTAAGCCTGGTTCACACGGCAAGATAATTGTGCCAATTTTTGACCCAACCCAGAAAAACTTAAGGACGCCCCCTTTTATTGTGATGGCTCTAAAAACAATCTTAGGAGGTGTTCGTGCCATGTGTGGTGTGTTAAGAATGATCTAGTCGGCTTGGAAGGACGTCGGAACCACTCCGATCGCAAATCAAGGTTATTCAACACTGTTGACTTTTGTTTTCAAGATTGATTTGGCCCGATATCACAGCGTGTGTGGTGTTCACCGAGGACAAACGAGCTGCAGCCTGTTGAATGTGACGTGTAGCCAATCAAAAACTGACTGTACTGAAACACAGAGGGGAATCTAAAGTACAGAAGACAAAACAACTACTGTGGTGCACCAGAAGTCCGGTGGACACCAGAGACGTCTTTTTGTTTAGCCTTTTTCTCTGTTAAAAATAGTCACTTCTTCTTTGTCAGCCATGTTTGTTCACTCTGAACTCACGTTTGATCTCGAGAGGTCTTGCAAGATTTGCAAGGTATCTACATGTCGGTGAGTGRTGTGTTGTCTTTGCTGTGTCTGTACACCACACACAAAATCTGTTATATCTATGGTTTTATATCATCACGAGTGGGGTCTCTCAGACTTTGAAATTTTTAAAATCTTGCCGTGTGAACCGGGCATTAGWTGATCTTGAGTTACTGGTGAACTAAGCCTAGTCCTACATACATGAGTACAAATGTACTGGCACAAATCATGGAGTCGTTTGAAGTGGATCTCCTGTGRAAGGATAAGCAGTGGAGGATGGTCTTTGTCTCTGCGAAGGACCGCAGCTCTGGGATTCTGATGTCARAACAGTTGATGAAGGCGATGATGTGACAGAGGATCCTTGTGGTGCCTGATACCTGCAGTCCACAGGAAATAGAAAGGAGAAAAAGATATACATACATGTAATGTGTCTATGGTTTGTGGTTACASAAGCAAAACGAATACTCAAAGTTATAAAAGACAGAACCTGTTTGACCTACACCATAAAAGATATCCTCACAACCAGGGAGGCCTTATTATGTACGTATGTGATACAAATAAGGGCATAAACCAAGAATGTAAAATGCTACTCACTGGTGTCTGCTTCACTAACATTAGGGTAATAATCAAATTAACGTAACAGACCTAGTTGATGGATTGAAACTGCGATGTGTTTTAATGTGTTCCAACCCTGTCAATAAGATTTTATGTTTTCTGTTTGATTTTCAAACCAATTGTGTTGCAATATTTTAATATAAAACTATACGTAGACATTTACAGAAGTTTCACTTTTTATTGTTATTTAGTATTTTAATAG